TCTCTCCTCACTTCCCCAACCCTCCCTCTTGCTCCCCGAACCTCCTGCCCTGCCTCCCTTTCCCAAACCACCAAGCCCTGCCCTGACTCCTGCACCCCTCACATCGCCAACCCCTTGCCTGGAAGGACTTGGGCAACACCAGGTATGTCTCCTAGTATAAAGTAAAATTGAACAAGGAAACCAAATTACATAATGGGCATGAGAACTAATGCAGACGTTCCCCCAGCTTTTTCCAGGCAGCGTCATCCGGAGTCTCTCTTAATTCCAGGTCAAAATTGGACAAGTGTGGCCAATTGGAGAAGTCCGAGTTTTCCCTACACAGCAGGACAGTCAATCCTGATGTTCTCTGTAGATTACAGGTGACTTTTAGATCCGCATAAAGATCCATGACTATGGCACGACAAAACTTTCTCTCAAGTTTCAGAGTACAGAATGCCGTGCTCAGTGCTTAGATGTATGATGATTGATGCTTTTTATACACAAAAATAGATCAGTAAGAATATATTCTCCACTGCGTTAGTGTGTTAATTCACATTCCCGTAAGGCACTAAGATTACAGGTGACTTTTAGATCCGCATAAAGATCCATGACTATGGCACGACAAAACTTTCTCTCAAGTTTCAGAGTACAGAATGCCGTGCTCAGTGCTTAGATGTATGATGATTGATGCTTTTTATACACAAAAATAGATCAGTAAGAATATATTCTCCACTGCGTTAGTGTGTTAATTCACATTCCCGTAAGGCACTAAACCCATCCTGCCTGCCTTGTTACAAGCTGTGAGACAGAGCCATGGCTTCTGAAAACGTGCAAGTGGCTAGTCTGGAAGCCGAGACGGTGGCCTTTTGCATTACATATTGATTTACACTTACAAAAGTGGAGTTCTGTTGTAAGAATTGATTTTTTTGTAGTTCACTCACCCCACCTCCGTTCTGTTTACCAAAATACCTACATGCAGGTCCTTGAGTAGAGAGTTGCCCCAGTTAGCTTTGTAGAGGAGCACAGTGTCCATCTTGCAGAGTGAGTGAGTGACACTAGGCATTTTAGAACCCTGTTAGCTCCTCTGTTTGTAACTGATTCTGATTAGTTGCCAAGCTAGTCAAGTCATATCTCTGCCTGTACCTGACTGTATTCCAAGATACAAATCTGCCTTTCCCCTGAAGACATCAAAGAAACTAACTTCCAGCCTGATCCTTCCCGATCTCCCCAATCAATAGCAACAGGATAGAACACACACAGGCCCTCTTGGAAAGTGAAATGTAATCCGGATAGCCCCCTACTCCCTGCGGGCACTGAAGTGAAACTGGGTTCCACTGAAACTGGGGAACCGAACTTCAGAGTAATCCAAGTTTAGTAGCCTGTGTTTTGCATGCACCAATGTGCTTTGCAAAGCCCAACCCTAAAGAAACAACGTTCAGAAGAGTAAATTGGCAACTGCATGCTGGATAGATGTAGCATTCAGAAAGGTCAACTCTCCCATTTCCTGGGTTATTCAGGGAGTTCTGTCGCTTCCTTGCGTGTTTTAACCCAGGCTGGGATTTCTGAGATCATGTGCAGTTGCTGTAAAACTACAGTCATCTCAGTCAATGGTACTGTGGGATGAAAGATGATTTGAGATGCAGGCTGATGTAAAGTTATGACAAGTTTTCTTTCTCTGTCCCAGGAAATGGTACTTGAGCTGGGGTGTAGGAAGACTTTACCCACTGGCTGCTGGTCTGACAAGGGACACTTCCTGTTTAGGGTTTTCCAGGAAAGGTTAAAAACGATCGGAAATGGCTCTGCTGTAGGTGAACGGCTACTGAGGCAGCAAGAAGTGCTGCTGCAAAAAAGGTAAATACAAACAGGTTGCTAAAATGAGAAACTTCTGATATAAAGCTGGGGCGGGGGAGGGATAGCGCGTGGCCTGCTAAACCCAAGGTTGAGAGTTCAATCCTTGTGGAGGCCATTTAGGGATTTGGGGCAAAAATTTGTCAGGGATGGTACTTAGTCCTGCTGTGAAGGCAGGGACTGGATTCAATGACCTTTCAAGGTTCCTTCCAGTTCTAGGAGATAGGCAATCTCCATTAAGTTAATTTATTTAATTTACTTTCAGAAACTCCTCTAAACAACAACAGTGAAAGAACTGCACATCCTATGGGATGATAATTAAAGTGGGAATATATTACATATTTTAGCTATGTCAAGCAGTTAAAAATTAATCATGATTGTGTGATTAATTGCACTGTTAATAGAATATCATTTATTTAAATATATTGGATGTTTTCTACATTTTCAAATATATTGATTTCAGTTACAACACAGAATAAAAAATATACAATGCGCACGCACCCACCCACCCAGAATGGGAAATGACTGTCTAGGAAGGAGCACTGCAGAAAGGGATCTAGGGTCAGAGTGGACCACAAGTTAAATATGAGTCAACAGTGTGATGCTGTTGCAAAAAAAAGCAAACATGATTCTGGGATGCATTCACAGGCGTGTTGTGAGCAAGACACGAGAAGTCATTCTTCCGCTCTACTCTGCTGATTAAGCCTCAATTGGAGTATTGTGCCCAATTCTGGGCACCACATTTCAAGAAAGATTTGGAGATGGTCCAGAGAAGATTAATCAAGAATGATTAAAGGTTAGAGAACATGAGCTATGAAGGAAGACTGAAAGAACTGGGCTTTAGTTTGGAAAGGAAAAGACTGAGGGGGGCCATGATAGTGGTTTTCAGGTATCTAAAAGGGTGTCACAAGGAGAAGGGAGAAAAATTGTTCTCTTTGGCCTCTGAGGACAGGACAAGCAGCAATGGGCATAGACTGCAGCAAGGGAGGTTTAGGTTGGACATTAGGAAAAGCTTCCTACCTGTCAGGGTGGTTAAACACTGGAATAAATTGCCTAAAGGGGTTGTGGAATCTCCATCTCTGGAGATATTTAAGAGCAGGTTTGATAGACATCTATCAGGGATGATCTAGACGGTGTTGGGTCCTGCCATCAGGGCAGGGGACTGGACTTGATGACCTCTCGAGGTCCCTTCCAGTTCTAGTGTTCTATGATGCTATGATATTTTTGATTACAAGTGTATGCACTGTAAAAAAGCAAAAGAAATAGTATTTTTCATTTCATCTGATATAAGTACTGTAGTTCAGTCTCTTTAGCATGAAAGCTGAATTTACAAATGTAGAATTATTCACCAAAAACTGCATTCAAAAATAAAACAGTGTTCCAGAGGACATGCATCCATGCCAATGACAGATTGTGCTCAATAACAATCCAAATCAGTGTGGACTGATACATGTTCATTATCTGAGTCAGATGCCGCCAGCAGATTGGTTTTTCGTTTTTGGTGATTTGGGTTCTGTAATTTCAATGTCAGTGTTGCTCTCTTATGCACCACTGCTTGTCCCTCTCTGATTTTGCAAGGCAGTTCAGATTCTTAAACCTTGGATTGAGTGCTGCAGCTATCTTTAGAAATCTCACATTGGTACCTTCTTTGTGTGTTGTGAAATCTGCGGTGAAAGAGTTCTTACACATGCTGGGTGAAATATATGGCAGAATGTGGGTAACTTTTTTAACAAGCATCATCAGCATGGAGGCATGTTCTTTGGAATAGTGGCCAAAACATGAAGGGGCATACAAATGTTTAGCATTTCTGGCATGTAAATACCTTGCAATACCTGCTACAGAAGTGCCATTCAAGTGCCTGTTCTCACTTTCTGCTAACATTGTAAATAAGAACCAGCAACGTTTTCTCCTGTAAATGTAAACAGACTTGTTTGTTTTAGTGATTGGCTGAACAAGAAGTAGAACTGAGTGGCCTTGTTGGCAGCTGAAGTTTTACATTTATTTTGGTTTTGGGTGCAGTTATGTAACCCAAAAAAATCTACATTTGTAAGTTGCACTTATCAGAACAAAGGATGCATTACAATATTTGTATAAGGTGAATAAAAATACTGTATCATGTTTACAGTATAAATATTCATAATAAAAATGTTTTTCAGTTGCAACAGAATATAATACAGATGAAAATATAGAAAAAACATCCAAATATTTAATACATTTCAATTTGCATTCTGTTAACGCAATTAAAACTGCAATTCATTTGAGTTAATTGCATGAGTTAACTGCAATTAATGGACAGCCCTAATATTTTTACTGATAATCTTGTGGATTGAGGTGTGTGTTCTCTAACTCCTGGGTATTTGAGCTTTCATTCATACACTGCAGTTACCTCTAAAGGATTATCCTGATAGTAGTCCCAAGAATTCAGTCTCCTGGACCTTGCTATTTACAGCCATCACCATTCTTGATTTCACCACCTGCATTTTGGTCATCATTAACATGCTTTACTTCCCACTGGGGTTGAGAAGGCCATGCCACCATTTCCAAGGCTATTGTTTGAAGCACATGGAGAAATACTACAGTAGCAGCACAGGTTGTCTGAGATTCCAACACAATGACAGAGTTCCTGCTTTCAAGTATGATGGGGTTTGGTCTCTTCTCCATTCCCCACTCTTAAGTTTAAAGACCCCTAGCCAGACAATTACCAGACTTGCTACTATTTGTAAAACTGTACACACCAGCTCTGTGTTTACAAAGTGAAAGAAATCTTCACAATCCAAGGTAGTTTTCTTTCCTCTTCGACAGGTCATGACAACAACTGATGGAGGAAGACTCAACAGAATCCTAAAGTAAAATGTAAAAAGCATGCAGTCAAGAAGGAGACAGAGAACAGCTCTCGGGTCAAATTAAGCCTGGCTGATTTTTAGCAGAATTTAGAAAAACTTTCCACAACTCAGTTCCTTAAACATCTGCTAGCAGGAAATGTACAGATTACTCATCGGGGATTTTCCAGGTGTCCAGAAATGGATCTGGTGTTTCAATAAAATATTCAGAACATTTTCAAGACACACAGGCTGTGTCTAGACTACATGGCTCCATCGATGGAGCCATGTAGTCTAGACACAGCCTGTGTGTCTTGAAAATGTTCTGAATATTTTATTGAAACACCAGATCCATTTCTGGACACCTGGAAAATCCCCGATGAGTAATCTGTACATTTCCTGCTAGCAGATGTTTAAGGAACTGAGTTGTGGAAAGTTTTTCTAAATTCTGCTAAAAATCAGCCAGGCTTAATTTGACCCGAGAGCTGTTCTCTGTCTCCTTCTTGACTGCATGCTTTTTACATTTTACTTTAGGATTCTGTTGAGTCTTCCTCCATCAGTTGTTGTCATGACCTGTCGAAGAGGAAAGAAAACTACCTTGGATTGTGAAGATTTCTTTCACTTTGTAAACACAGAGCTGGTGTGTACAGTTTTACAAATAGTAGCAAGTCTGGTAATTGTCTGGCTAGGGGTCTTTAAACTTAAGAGTGGGGAATGGAGAAGAGACCAAACCCCATCATACTTGAAAGCAGGAACTCTGTCATTGTGTTGGAATCTCAGACAACCTGTGCTGCTACTGTAGTATTTCTCCATGTGCTTTCTCTGCAGTGGAATAAGTTTGTCTGGATTCACAATGAGTAAATTCTGCTGATGAGAGAGGGCTCTTTAGATAGTAAAAACAGGTGATCCAGAGGCAGATATGGGGTAAAAGGGCTCCTTTATTCCACCTTGGACCTCCATACCCTGGGTCCAAGTGAGCAACTTATTAACCACAGGTACCTTTTTATCTTAGGGTACATCTACACCACAAGACAAGGTCAAATTAAGATGCGCAACTTCAGCTACGTTAGTTGCGTAGCTGAAGCCGAAGTACCTTAACTCAAATGTTGGCACTGTCCACGTTGCAGGAAAGTGAAGGGAGACTGTTCTCCCTTCAACTTCCTTTACTCCTCATAGAAGCAGGACTATTGGCATCGACCCGAGTGCCCATCTCCGTTTGAATGAGCTGTCTTCACTAGCCCCCCTAATCCCAACCCTGGAAGATTGACAGTGGCAGATGAACACCCTTATAATGCACAATTATAACCATGTGATGAATATAATTCTACCCACCCGTTTACTGTTTAAAGCTTTTTAGCTGGAGCAAGCAGTTTTACATTACAAACTTCCTGAAATCAGCAACTTACAAGGAGAAAAGGACGTGTGACCCTGGATGTATATTTCAGAGCAGTGGTCCCCAACGCGGTGCCCGTGGGTGCCATGGCACCCGCCAGGGCATTTGTGTGTGCCCGCCGTGTGACCAGGGCCAGCCCAAGACATTCTTGTGCTCTGGGCGCATGCCCGCGGGCGCCCGGCAGCCCCAAAAGGTTGGGGACCACTGTTTTAGAGTAAATGGGACTGGACAAGGGGGTAAGGAGATACTGTTTGTTTCACACACAGAGCATTCATTAAAAGTTGCATCCTTTTAAGCGTCTCTATCCCAAGCAAACCGGAAAGGAGGAAAATTTGTTTAAACCAACACAGACAGTGCCTGCCCATGCTGTACCCCCATTGCCCTGGTAGCGATTACCCATATCCCTTATTTAACTCTTACACACCCCAACAGTCATCTGCCGCTTTGCTGGATGTGGTGACTATACCACAAGTGAGTGCATGTCTGAGTGAAATCGCTGCTCAGCAGTTTAGATTTTTGACCTGCAGGGGGATTATCTAACCAATTTGTGACCAGTAAGATTAACTAGTTTCAGTTCTGTGACTGTGTTTAAGACCGCTTGTGCAGAGTAGCGCGTACACAGAGAGGGAGTCCTCTGGGCTACACCCATTTCATTTGTTGTTATTCCATCCCTCAAGTATAGGTCCCTTGTTATGGCTCTTGGAGCCTGTTCTCTACATTTTTGTTGCCAGTAGAAGTCATTGACGAGCACGTGAAGTAGAGAACCCTGCAGCATTCCCTGAAAGCGAGAGACTGAGCTTGCATCCCAGTCTCTGAGTTTCCTGACACATCAGGGCACTGTGCCAAGTCCCTGCCGTATATATTGAAAGTGAGACCCTGTCATAAGCTGACTTTCCAGCTTGAAAACATTGAGCTGTTTGGAAACATCTTAGTAGTTGACATAAAACGGCTTCATAATGGTTGTGCCATCAGCTCCTGGGTGTCTCTCCCTTTTGCATTCTCCTGGTTTTAATCCGCTCTATTTCTCTGCTAGGCTAATGACCCCTTGCAAGTCACCCGTCTCTATCCACTGGAGGTGCAGCGAGAGAAACCCAGTCATCCAAGGAAAGGCACTCTGTCTAAGATCACTTCTGTCATCTAGTGTACAATGAGCAGCATGATCTGTGTTGCTGCCTGGTAGCGGGAACTGCAGAGCACTAGCTAGGGACTGATGTTGCTTCACAGGAGAAATTGGGTCCTGGCGAGAGTTCTAATGGGAATGAGTAACTGTGCTTTCAGACAGGGTTCTTCTGCATTGTCAGGCCTTGCCCTGTTGGGAGCTGTTGCCAAAGGGTTACGAACTGTTAAAACCCTGTGGTCCTCGATTGAATAAACTCTTGTCTGTCTGCTTCTGTTCCAGAGGAACATCTGTTCCAGAGGCTGCACCCTCTCCTATGACATCACTGCTCACTTCTTCAGGGTAACTTCTAGCTTAATCTTTCCCCTTGTGCCAAGACAGAAGTCGTCCGCGAAGAGAAACAAGTTAGGACCCTCCTCTGACACTGTTACTAGACCTGGAATGTGCAATCCTCAGCTGTTTTGAGAATGTAGAATGGGAACTTTATGTAAAAGTAAAGTCCCTGGACAAAGATTCTGAACTGTAGATGTGGGAGAGAAGTGATGGATGTAAACATTGTATAGGAGCTGGTGAAATGTGTGAGGGATTGGTCTACAGGTGTTGAAGTTTTACTGAAATAGTGTAACTTTTAGCACATTTTTCACAGTAAGAGAAAGCTACGTTCAGTGTAGGATTTGTGGGGGTGACTTTTTTTTTTCCTTCCTGAATAATGCTGGTTCTTACAGCTGGTTTTTAGCAACAGATGGCTTTGAAAGGTACATTATTAGGCAGTCATATTGCACTTCTGCTCCCCAGGGTCTGCTGAATGCCAGTTTGGAGCATGAGGAATCCGCACAAGTGGTTAATGATGTTTTGAAAACATGCCAAACCAAGTGTCCCGTTATCATTTCTTCTGCAGCGGTAAATGTTCTTCTAGATCTTCTTGGAGTCTATTACGGCCCGTCAATACAGGCAACCTAGACAGTTGCCTAGGGTGCCAAGATAAACAGCCATTGAGGGCTTTGGAGGCAGGGGCGCCAATCGTGCGCTGATCGCGCATTTCGCCTAGGGTGCCAGTTGCCGGCAGCTCGTATAGGGCCGCTCCTGATTACGTACTGGCTCCAAAATACAAAGCAAACTGTAAATTAGCTTTGAATGTGACAGGAGGGACTATGGGAGGCAGAGGGGAATATTTTGTGTGTGATATTTTGGGACATTTACAGTAAAACGAGGTGCATTGCCTTGACAGGTATAGGTACATATCTTAGTACACAATGAACAGTATTGAGCAACGTACTGCATATTGACTGTATATTGTTTTATCATTTCCTTTTTCCCCTCCCCAAAATTATTTTGACACAACCCTAATATGGCGTGTGTAGGTTGTGTCAGTTCAGGGCAATTGCATGTGTATCCTCCTCCCGCCCTGCGGGTCCAGCAAAAGCATCTACTCTGAAGCTATAGCTTTTTTTGGTTTTGGTCTCACCCCAACATCCATACACAAATGAGTTTCTCTGTGGCTCCAAAACTGACAGCGTGGCAGTAATCTCTCTGCATTGAGACTTCTAGGGCTAGTAAGGGTAGATCCTGGAGCTCTCTGCTTCTGTTTCTTCGCTCCAGCCCAGTGACAGTCCACGCAGCAAAGAGATTTTTCTTGTGCCCCGGCTTTTCTCCTCCTTCCAGCATTCATGCTGATGAGATGGGCTTCCTTTCATGTAGCACATTTGTGGCCGCGAGGGCCGCGAACCAAGTCTGTGTTGTGACGTTCCACGACGGCCCTTTTAGCTTTGATTTTCCTCCTTGAGGGGTGGTGGACCATTCCGCCTGACCGGTATACAGTTTCAGAGCAAGTACCTTCAGTTACAAAGCATAGCTTGCATATAAGAGCATGAGAACGCCAGCCGGTGAGTTCCCCACCTTCTCAGGGCGTTGGGGCTCAGAATTTGGGCTTCAGTCCACGGGGTGGTTGGGGAGGCAGACTTGGGTCACAGTGCTTCAGGTTCTGGTTTCCCATTGTCCCTAGCCCCTGCTACCGCCCCCTTAGCCACCATGCAGGGCTAAATTTGTCCTCCGATTTCCCGGTGCTGAGTAAGTCTGCTGTGAAAAGTGCTGAGTGTGTTGGTTCATGTCACTCGTCGCAGCAGACCGACTAGCCAGTAATACATAAATGACAGGGATTTGGACATGGATGTGTGCATCTGTTTTTCTTAGTGCTGATTTAGTATTTTAGGGAAAACCATGAGAGCGGCTCCCAGCCAGAGCTGGTGACTGCGCTGAGGCCACCAGATAATTTGTCCTGAGAAGCCGTGTTCTACCTGCTGTGCCCGTCCCATCTCTCTCACACAACTCCCCTGTTCGCGCTTTGGACCCCTGTGCGCCGATTCTAACTTGGTTGGTTTCCACTGTTCTTCTAGCGGTGGTGGCTGAGGTTGGAGCCGGTGCTGTGCTCCCAGTGGAAAAGGCTGTTTGAGGCTCCGTTGGCACAAGGACTGCAGAGGATGAGGAAATGGCATCATTCTGCTGCGAGGTGAGTCTGAGGCGCCTGCCGATCCGCCTGTGGGCAGCAGCGAGACTGCCGTCGATGCAGCTTGTCATGCTGCGGGAAAATTAAGTGTGCACGACTACTCTCCGAAACCGACGGCTGGACTGTCTGCTGGCAGTACGGCATGCTCATGGGGACGGGCTTGCAGGACAGCGTCCTACATCAATTCATTTCTGGATTGCAAGGCCCGAAGGAACCATTATCCTCTCTTAGTCGGACCAGCTAGAGAATGTCACCATTTCTTTTTGGGACAGAGCCGAGCCATACGGAAAATATAGGTTCTTCATGGAATAGTGTAGAGGAGAAGAGTTATTGTTAGACAACAGAGATAGGAAGATAGCCTTGTGCGGGGTGTTGAGTCGGACTTACTGATGTTATAGTCCCCCTTTCGCTCTTGATTTGGTGGGTCCTCTCCGTTTTCATGAACCCACATACTGGTGCTATGCTGCACAACTGCAGAATCTGCAGTCCCCCAAACACCTTCTTCCTATTCCGGTTCTGCAGCTTTCCTGACTTACAGTGGTAGCTGGGCAGAGCTGGGGGCTCATATGTTTCACTTCACATTGATGGCTCTTGTAGGTAATAACTAGATGCTCCCATTCTGATGATCATACTACGGGCTGAACCTCCTAAATCCGGGACGCTGTGGTCCGGCAACATCTGTGGTCCAGCAGGCAAGCACTAGGGATGTAAGGGAGTAGTCGACTACGCAAGAAGCCTATGCTTATCGGGTAGTTGAGTCAACTGCCTGCTCCCACCTCTCCTTGCTGCCTGTGTCAGCAGGAGCTGGTGCTGGGGGCAGACAGCTTAACAGCTGGTTCCCCCCAGCACTGTCTCCGTGGTGCTGGAGGTGGGAAGTAGGGGAGGCAGAGCCACAGCGGTCCCGGAGCTGGCGTGAGCTGGGATTGGCTCACACCAGCCCCGGGAGCTAACCCTGCTGCGGCTCTGCCTTTTAAATGTAGTAAGAGCCCACTGCGGGTAGTGGGGATAGCTTCTGGGGGTGGCATGAGCTGGGACTGAGCAGTCTCAGCTCGGGCTGGCTCTGGGACCACTGCGGCTCTGCATTCTCAACAAAACCCCCACCGAGTGGGGATAGCTTCTGGGGGTGGCATGAGCTGGGACTGAGCAGTCTCAGCTCGGGCTGGCTCTGGGACCACTGCGGCTCTGCATTCTCAACAAAACCCCCACCGGGGCTCTTACTACATTTAAACTGCAGAGCCACAGTGGGTTAGCGCTCAGGGGCAGCGCGAGCTGGGATAGCTTAGTCCCGGCTGGCGTGGCCTTCCGGGACTAGCCCTGCTGTGACTCTGCAGTTTAAAGGCAGTAGGAACTGTGCGCACAGGGGCTGGACTAAGCAGGTCCAACCTGTAATGCTAAATGCTGGTTTGGAGTTAGAAAGTTTGTGACTGAGCCACCCCTGGAGCGGACCTTTGGGCAGATGGTTGGGTTATGGCCACAATCCCTTGGAGAGATGTAGGACTGCCTATATGCAGGAACCAAGTTGGGGGAAAGATCTGTCAGGCAGAAACACCTGGTCTCTTGATCCCTTACTCCACTGTGGCCTTGAGTCAAGGCTTGATTTCTCTCCTTGCGCTCTCACCCATGGGTGTGTCTGCTGAATTCTTACACTGTTTTCATCTCCCAGCTTCCTCGCTTCAGAGGCAGAGTTTTCCCTCTCTGATACACCCTGGATTTCTGCAGCTTTTCTGCACTTCACTGCTCAGCAGCAAGCAGCGCCTGGACGAAGGAGAGCTGCACTGAAGAGCCTGGGAGGTCTCTCAGAGCAGGCAAGACTAGGCATTTTTAACCCTTTGCAGGTTTCTCTCTGCCTCTGTTCTTAAACCATTCGTAAATCGGAACTTGATCTGACTCGTATTTTTGTAACACTAAAGGAAACGACTGTACAGCACTGCCCCTGGTCGTGAAATCTGGTTGTGGGGAGGAATATGGCTCTTCAGTCTCTCCCTTCTCCCCGGTAAAGCTGCATCCAATGTGTCTAATTAGGCTATGTCTAGACTGCAAGCCTCTTTCAAAAAAGAGCGTCTAGATTACAAGCAGTACTTATGAAAAAGCAAGTCGCTTTTTCGAAAGAGAGCACCCAGGCAGTCTGGATGCTCTTTCGAAAAAGCCCAGTTTGCATTACATAGCGCCTTTTTTCGAAAGAGCACTTTAAAAAAAAAAGTGTTATTCCTCGTAAAACGAGGTTTTCCGTTGTCGAAAAAACTGCCACGTTCTTTCGATTTACTTTCGAGAGAACATGGCTGCAGTCTAGACGCAGGAGAAGTTTTTTTTCGAAAAAAGGCCACTTTAAAAAAAAAAAAAAACTTGTAGTCTAGACACACCCTAACTCAGCTTGTTGGGCTTTTCTGACAAGTGAAAAGAAGAGAGAAAACCCTTCCCCTTACACTGCAAGGCCAGAAGCCAGGCGGGAGAGTTGGGACCACTGTGGCCGACATCTCCTGTCTGGCCTCCGCAGCGCTGGTGAATTCGGCAGCTAGCAAGGTGGTGGCTCAGAGGTGTGCACAGGATGTGAAGAAGGGCGCTCTGAAACTGACGAGATCCCGAGAGCCCCCTGGAGATAAAGCAGACCCAGGCATTTCTTCACCGGGGTCTGCCATCCCCCCCAGTAACACGGGGGCAGGGGAAAGGGAAATAGCTGCTCTGTCAGAGTTTGGTGTTTTTCAGGGGAAAGGAGGTCTGGTGCCCCTTCCCAGAGCATTCCCCCAATGCAGGGACGTTCGTGTGTGACCAGCTGCATTTCAAAACAAAGATCGCTGGGCAGGTGGCAACTTGTCACTGGGAAATGAGCAGTCCTGCCTCTTCCAGCCCTTGGGACAATTATTGCTGCTGCTTCTGCCATTGGTAGCTCTTAGAGACTCCAGGAGGGGAAGAGGGCTCTGTTCTACTGGGCACTGACCAGACTTTCCTCTTGGTTTCTCTGGAAAGCTCTCTGGGGCTGCTGGATTTCTGTGGCGTTAAAAGGAGCATCCCTTTCCCCCCCTCCCCCCCGCGATATCCCAGTCTGTAGTGGTCATGTGGTGACTGGCTACACTGAAGCCAGCTGTCATGTGCCTTAGAGAGAAGGAGACATGGGTTCCAAACCAGGGTTGGCCTTCCCCTGATGACAAAACTACCACACCGTTTTCCGTGAGTGGCAGGCCCCCAGAACTGGCACAAGAGGCATGTTGTAGGGTAGGACTGAGTGTGCTGCCGGAGGGGCCCAGCGGGTGCTTGGCAGTGCTGCCCCTTGCGGGGCGGAGACCACGTCCGTCTGTGGACTTGGAAGGATGCACGTCCTTTTGGATGACTGACTTCCAGTGAGCCTCGCTCCTGCGGGCCAGAACTTTGCGATTAATATGGAGTTTTGTCTTCAGAAATGGATGCTGCTAGCCCAGGGTCACCTTCTGTCTCGGCTCCCAGAGTGCCGGGAGCCCACGTGAGCCCTGGGGAGAATACCCCACTGTGCATAACAGCCCAAAGAGCCTAGGGACACGTTTGGGGGCTTTGTGGGTAGAATGTCCCATTTGTCATTTGAGGATATAAGTAATATACAGCTTCTTTCACTTGTAGCTCCTCGTCTGTCTGCTGTTCTTTTCACTCATGGATTTCATCTCGACCAGATTCGCACCAAAGGTAAATCCAGTCCCTGTCTCGTTATTAGACTGTGTGGGCTTAAAAAGGCTGGTTTGCCGCCTAAAACTCCATTAGACCAGCACTGCGCAGTTCACTGGAGCCTCCTGCTCGAGTAGGGAGTAAGGGATGTCTTGCAGATCGCAATGGGGGTCCAGGCTGTCTTCCCCTGTTCCTAAGCCAAACCCAGCAGCCCTTCTCTGCCATAGTAGTATTTCTTGTTTTCTTGGCTGACTCTCTGTTTTCAGACCTTCCCATTCAGTAGACTTCCAGCCTTGCTCCCCTAATGCTTGAATACAAATAATGCTGCCTAGTCTTTGTATGGCGTTTGGCATATATTGTCAGCCACTTTCCATAGGGCAGAGAGGCAGAGCTCTTGGCAGGAGAGAGTGCCCCAAAGGGGGAGCAGGATCTCTGTCCTACTGGCCCATAGCAGCTGGATTACTCTGTGCCACCAGGCCTGGAGGGGTTTTCAGGGAAGGTGTTTGACAGAGGTTGGTCTGAGCTGTTTCAAGCGGAGAGGGGATGTGCAAGGAGGCTTGGAGACAAACCAGTCAGGAGAGAGGCATGAACTGTGAGGCAGAGTGGGGGGAGAGCTGTCTGAATGCTAACTAATGCCCGTAACACCCTGTGAAATAACTGGGGGCCAGTGTTCCCTCTAATCTTTTCCATCAGTGTGCGGAATAATTTATGCACTGAGGCATGGTTGAATGTGCACCTCCAACAGAAACACAAAATGTAGCTGTGGGTGCTCTGCTGATTGCTGGGGGGCATTTGAATTTCTCCGGCGTGGCCGCCCAAGCGCCCACCTTCCAGAGAACACAGGTGGGGAGAAGCTGCTGAGCGGTGCAGTGACGTTTCCCAGGCTAGATGCTGAACTCTTTGGAAATGCTTTGGTCATGGGCTGGCCCTGCTGTTGTTTTTCTACAGCTCTGGAGAAAGCTCTGGGTACAGCTTGCTTTCTGCCTTGGGCCAGGGGGAGCTGGAGCCTCCTGCGTTCTCCTCGAGGCCTTTGACTGCAGTGAGGCGGAGGAAGGCTCTATCTGTGCGTTTAGCGCCGTACTAAGGCTGGCACCGGGGCTGCACTTCATAAACAGTCACAATTGCCGGGGCAGCTCCCTGTCTGAAACGTAGCCACAGCTCTGAGAGGAGGCCGCATGTTCTTTTCCGAAATGTACAGGAAGAGAGAGAAGAGCAGAACTCTTTGGAATGGTGCCTGGAGCTTCTCGGATGCCTGGAAGAGCAAGGCAGGTCCTGGCTCGCACTCTTTCATTCGGCAGAGAAAGGTGAGTAGGCTTTCCCTCCCCTACACGTGGGAATGCCAAACTTGGGGCTGGGGGCTTCAGGGATTCCCTCTTGGGTCCAGGGAACGTAGTTGTCTGACGGAGCCTCTGCACCCAACAAGTGGCACATCAAACAGCCTTCTTTGGGGCATCAGCTCTTCTGCCCTGAGGTGACACCTGGTAGCACTTTGACTTAAGGATGTTACAATGCGATATGCTAGTCGATGGAATTTCCGGCAACTAGTCGATAGGCACTTCCGCATTCCTCCCGCTGGGGCTCTTGTACATTTCAGAGGAGGAATGCAGAACTCTGCGTACAGCTGGGGCCAGCAGGAAGTCCTGCTGACTCCGGGCTGCATGCGAGTGCCAGCTCGGAAATGCACAAGAGTCCCCAGTGGGGGCTCTTGTGCATTTCAAATCCATGGAGCCCGGGTCAGTTAGTCCCCCCACTGACCCTGGGCTCCATGCTATGCTGACCCCAGGTTCCACGGCAGGAAGCTGTCCCTTCGAAATGTGTGGAGCCGGCATTTTAAAGGGGCAGCCGCTGTGGATCAGCTGTGTGGGGCTGCCCCTTTAAAACACCACCTCTGTGTGAGACTTGGACACACCCCTCCACAGGTGTGACCGGAGTCTGACCCAGATGGCAGCTTAGGCACAGTCTCCAGCTGCTGCCTGGCTGAACTCTGCCCAGCGTCTGCACTGCTTCAGAAGCACCCGACGAGACCCCCTGATAAGACATTTACCTTTCTCCTGTCTTTGGCTATTGCAGACCGTGGACTGTATCAAATTCTGCACAGCACAGCCTCAGACCAGTACATCCGCCTGTTACCTGTGGCATTCTACAGGTAACAACCAACCACTAAGGGAACCCTTGGCTTCTCACACGCCTGTCTCCAAGCAATTCTCTTCATGTTTGGAGAGTGGAGCTTGGCCAGCAGTGTGTGTGGGAAGAGAATCTCTAGGAAGTATGATTGTCAGTTGGGTGGCTGGATGACTCTCTGGCAAACCAGACTGTATCGGCCACTTCAGGCTTACCCAGCAGCCTAGGAGTGAAGCAAACTGGTAACTTTCCCAGCTAAAAACATCTGCAGCCCTCTGAAAGCCAGCGTTCCTGCTGCTTGATGGTCCAGGAAAGCTTCCCTGCTCCGAGACCCCCTACAAACCATGACTTCCAGCTGGTGGGATTCCAGCTAGACGGGTCCATTCCCACGCTCCTGTGTTGCAAGCCCCAGGGGGGCGGGAGAGCAGTGTCTAGGGCTGAATACAGCGAGTCTGGCCGTGAAATCCCACAGGCGAGTGTTCCTGTGAAGGGTGTGTGCACTTTTGCCCCTAGTGTGTTTAAAGATGGATCGTGCGATCTGGGTGCACTATGCTCACGCTGTACCTTGTGTGATTCTTTTTAGCCTCATCCCCTGCTTTCACCAAAACCTCCTGCAGAGAGAGCAAAGCTTCCTGTGTGTTGCTGTTGACATGTACACCCGGCTACTTCGCCTGTACATGGACGGGGAGAATCCTCAGCCGTCCGATCAGACGGGGCAAAGCCTACAGCATGTGAAGCTGGTGAGTGGTATTCAATCTCATACCTACCCTGGACTGTTAACACCGCCTAGCCACAACCCCCGTTATTTACTTGCACTGACACAGTACGCTCCTCAGCCCAGGGGTTCTGAGACCGAGGCCGGGGGTGTTGGCGGAGGACCTGAGAGTGCATTTTCATTGTACAGGGATGGGATCTGTAAACAGGAGACATTAACGTGCCCAAACCACTTGTAGAAGTCAACGTTCTTTTAATAAAGAGGGTTTCGAGTGACTTTGCTCTGTCCTGAACCAGCTGTCTTTTCACTAGGTGGATTCTCTAGCGGTGGTAACTAAGGCTCGTCAATTTCTGCTACATTCAATTGCACAGTGCCCCCAAAAGAGCTTTATACATATACAACAGGTATGCTGTGTCCTCCTGTATTTGTCAAGTCGCTGTAACGCCCTGCATACTCTCCACTTCGTGTCAGCATCCATGCAGCCCTCGGCCTTTTGTGCTAGACTAATCGTGAACTCATACTGCCCCCAAACCATACAGCACGTCACTGCCGCTGCCAGAGTACTGTTCTGGCACTACAGATCCACTGTGTGCATAGGAGTCAGTTGGTGCCTGGCCCCAAACCAGTCTGTCCCCCGAACTGAGGCATGTTTAGGGAAGTTTACTAGTAGGAGGCAGGCTGAGCTGGTACTGAGCTTAGGTTGCTTTGAAGTAGTAGTAACAGGCCTTTAATACCGCTTGCTTTCTTTTTCCTGCCAGGTACTGGATCCCTGTGGAGAATTTGACCCAGAGGTGAAAGCTGCCCTCTGCTATTCCTGGAAGCGCACTGTAGCTGAGGATTTCTATGATGAACCAGTCCTCTTCTAAGTGGTGCTGGTGCAGAACTGTAGCCTAGGCAAGGGCAGCAGAGAAAGACCCGTGGCTAAGACCATTTTTGTGGCATTCAAAGGAATGGATTGACAGGAAAAACTATCAGGGGTTCTCCATCGCTGTAGCCAGGACTACTTGATTCAGATTATTTGTAAATAATTTATTACAAGCAAAACCTTGAAGCTCTTGTTAACAATAAAAAGGAGGTTAAATTTTTCATTTTAGAGTTGCTTTGGGAATTGCCATTTTTTAAAAACGAGTTTTAGGTCGCTCCCCTGGGGCCTGCATACCTGTAGAGCCTGAATAGGAACTACGGCCGTGCCTGCAGTGTTTGCAGCTACCTCACTGATGTGGCACGGCCTGGTTTCTGTCACCGCGTGGGGGCGCCTAGAACACCCAGTTCCTTTGCCGGCGATGGAGACGTTTAGCACAACACTGCTTAAGTGGAGAGACGCATGGAGAATCACACCGTAAAAGCTTTTTTCTGAGCAAGCTGAAGCTATTTCCACTGAGGTGGGTTTTTTTGTTGAGAATCTAGTCAAGTGTTTGTTAAAATCCCCACTCTGCTGCTGAAGGGTGGATCCAAGGCCGGTCGGTGCACAGCTCCAGCCGCCCTTCAAGTAGGCTCCTGCTGGGCCGTCAGTTCGGGTTTTACCGCCTGGCTTTCCGCAGTCCCTGCAGGATCCAACGGGAGAATCTGCTCTGGCTCCTGGGGCTTGGCTTTGTCCTGAGTCTGGGTCAGAGGGTGCACCATGGACATGTGGACGTTCAAGTTATGGGCCTTTTCAAAACGCTTTCCACACTGGTCGCAGGCGAACTCCAGCTCGGCCTCTGCTTTGTGTTTGGTCATGTGGTATTTGAGAGACGCTCGCTGCCTGCATTGGAAACCACAGATTTCACATCTGGAAAGCAAAACACAATTAGCGCAACACCGTGGCCCCAGCAGCAGGTAACTCTGGCTGGCAACAAAGGAGGGAGCCCCTCCCCCATGCTGTGGCTGGCCAGGGCTAATTGATTCTGCCTCCCCCAGGAGTGGGGCTGGGATCAGCTGATCCCAGAGGAAGCGGGGCTTGTTCCGGTGCCTGCTTCCTTTGCTGCTGGAGTGAGGAAGTAGCAGCTGCAGCTGCCTCACCCTCAGAGGCAGGGAGAGGGGAGTGCCTGAGCCCAACCTGTGAACTAGCCAGCCCCCATCTCCAGAGGGTTGTGATCCAGGGGGCACAGCCCAGGCGTGTAGTTTGCAGAGATGGCAGGGGCCATGGGAAATGCATCTCAAGTAAGTGCCTATGTCCAGCTGTTTGCAAGACCCTCAGCAGCACTTCTGGCCGGTTTTTTCTTTCTCTGCACCAGCCTGTGTCCGTTGGGTCCGTCTCCCCAGGGCGTGCCGTATTTGTGGCTGGAGATAGCCCTGTGCCTGGCTTTGTATCTCTCCTCCCTCCCCCATCCCTCCAGGGAGCCGGATTTATTTCTGTTGCCCCAAAAATGCCTCTCGTCCATGCCTTGTCTTTCATGTGAAAAGTCTGGTGGGGACAGGCCCATCTTGCTAGTGTTCAGTAATTAAAAAACCCAAACCTGTCTCTGCTTAGTTGTAGTTCATGATGCAAAGAGTAGATGGGGGTAGGAAGGAGTTATTTTAGAGAGATTAAAGGTGAATCAAACCCTTAGGCTATGTCTAGATTGGCATGATTTTCTGCAAATGCTTTTAACGGAAAAGTTTTCCCTTAAAAGCATTTGTGGAAAAGAGCACCTAGATTAGCACGGACACTTTTGCGGAAAAGCGTCCGTGCCAATCTAGACACGGTTTTGCGCAAGAAAGCCCCAATCGCCATTTTCGCCATCGGGGCTTTTTTGTGCAAAACAGTTCTCAGCTGTCTACACTGGCCCTCTTGCGCAAAAGCATTTGCACAAGAGGGCTTTTTCCCCAACAGGAGAGTCATTGTATTTGCGGAAGAACACTGACAATCTTACATGAGATCGTCCGTGTTCTTGCGCAAATTCAAGCGGCCAGTGTAGACAGCTGGCAAGTTTTTCCGCAAAAGCAGGTGCTTTTGCAGAAAAACTTGCCAGTCTAGACACAGCCGGTGGGTGGAGGAAGTCCCGCCCCTTCAACCAGGCGGCGCATGCTCCAAGTGCTTGCCAGTCTAGACGGCAGCCTTAGAGTTTTGCTTTTACTCATTCTGTGTCTATGCAGATTAACTTATAGGAGGGGAAAATACTGTCTTGAAAAATTGCTTCAGGCACTTGCTTTGCTGGGGTTAGATTCAGGCATGTTTACCTTCAGGTTTATAAGCCAATAAAACTTATCAGTTACTTCAAATAAATAAAGTCCTTCCATCATCATGGTCTTCCCAGGGGTAATTACACCAGGCTTTTAGTCCTGAGAGGCCTCTAATTCACACATGCTACAACCTCTAGACTGTTTCCCCTCCTCTCTTTGGGAGCGTCCTGTTTCTTTAATTGTTGTATTTACAATGACTGGATCTGGTTTTAAATGCATGTTTTGGGGGAAGCACTTAGCATGTTGTTTCAGATGGAATGTGGCTGTTCTCATATTGCAGGAGAAAGTTGTGATTTACGTTACGTATTTTGTTAATTTTTACAAGCACATCACAGGCAGCTGTTGTGAAAGTAATGCTGAGAGTTACTGCTGCTAAAGACATCTTACTGGCCACACCGATAGCGTTCTTCAGTGTAAGTCAATCACCAACGCAGCTGTGTGTTTTGCGAAGGCTTCTCCACTATTTGTCAGTCCGTAGATATACAATGCGTATCCACGTAGTACCGTTGCCTTTGCAAATGTTGCATGCACTTAGGCAGCTATTTCTGACTGTGATTTGTGCTCCAGGCATCTTGTTGACACAGGCATCTTGACACTAAAACAAAGGGGGGCCGGTTGTGTACCTGGAGCACAAATCACAATCAAATAGGGGGGCAGGTGCCTGAAGCAGAAAAGCAGCCAGCAGGGCCGTGGAATGGGAGGGAGGCAAGGCGATGGATTTGCTGTGAAAGCCATTAGGGAAAAGAAAGGGTGTGTTTTCTTAGCTAGTGCCTGACGGCTCCTCTTCTTACTAAACTGCGCGTTCCAAGCCCCTCTGCATTGGGCGGGGGGAACGGAAAGGCCCTTGGGAGGTGACAGCCCAGACACCTGGCTGCAGTAGCAGCAGCTATTTCTTGTGTGTGTCTCAAACTGAGGTGGGCCAGGGCTGGTATCTCAGCCATCGTGTGAAATGCATCCCTGTGGCTGTTTGCCAGGCACCCAGCAGGATCTCAGGGCCTATCCTAGGAGAGGAGGGAGGCGCTGAAGGGTGACTTCCCAGCCAGCGGCCTTTGCTGGAGCTTCCACGTTTACTTATTGACAATAACATTTGCATAATTGTAAATTATTGGGCCCAGACTATTAACTGCCCTTGGGGGGGGGTCTGGGGGGGAGGGCACAGGGCGTTGTGGTGATCGCTGGGTGATGGTTTACTGGGCTGGGGCGCAGGTGGGAGGGATGTGCAGAGGTTGGAGTGAAGGTAAGTGGTGGAGTTAGGTGCAGGACAGGCAGGGGTTAATAGGGGGGTACAGGATGGGGGAGCCCCTGGCAGCCAAAGGCAATGGGGCGCCAACATACCAGTTTGCCAGGGCACCATTTTCCCTAACGCCAGCCCTGGTACCATTCCCCACGTGGATCACCCTGTAACTCTCTTTGTTCAGCTCAGAGCTTGCTCAGCACCAGGCGTCTTTTCTAACCCATTACTCTGTGCTGGGCTGTGAACGGGAGGGAGCCAGTATTCCAGCAGCAGCTGCTCCAGTGTCCAAGACACAATTAAACTCTCACTGTGATTTCCCTGGTTCTGCACCCAAGGGCCACGAGCTCTTTTGGGCCCCCGCCGGCACTCATGTTCGGCTGATTATCCACTTACCCCCTCTTCCCCACAAGTCTTGCCATGACGCTTACAGGATGGGGAGGCAAGGCGTTTACATCACCATTAAAACAGACGCTTGTCCCCGTTTTCCCACACACACTCCAGCTTGCTCTGAAGCAGGGACCTCCCATTATTTACCAATCCGTGTGTGTGTGTGTGTGTGTGTGTGTGTGTGTGTGTGTGTGTGTGTGTGTGTGTGTGTGTGTGTGTGTGCACACATGAGAGCACTGGAGAAGCAACGTGCAACGGGAACGCACTAGCTGGAGCGAAAAGGAGGCCTGCGTGCACCTAACACCTCGCTAGTTTGACTCAATTGGTCCAGGTCACGGCTGGTCACAAACCCAATTTACAGCCAGGAAATGGCTCCCTCTAGTTACTCACATCGCCACTCTGCATTTTGCCGGCAGCACAAGGCTTCTGCCAGTCCAGCAGGACTCCAGGTTTTTGAACTTTTTCTGCCCTGGCCCCAAGCGGGTCTCTGAATAACCTCTGCACCTGTGCGAACAGCGCACATCCTCCCCAAGCAGCCGCTCTGGGTTTTCTGATGAAAACATCTCACAGGGCCCTTTTCTAAACTCACTTCCTGAGCACCCCACTTCCTTGCGGCTCTGGCTAGTGGAAGGAAACCCTCTGGGTTTCCCCCTCAGAGTGTCTGCAGTCTTTGATCCCAGGGATGCAGCGTTCAGGTAGATGGGGCAAACAGGTCAAGCTCTTTCAGAAGCAAAAGGCAGCTGGGTTCCTCCTTGGAAAGGGGGTCCCAAGGGGTGACCCCCGTCTCTCCGTTGTACTACACCCCACCGCGGTACGCGAGGGCAAAGTGCACTTACTGGAGGGGTTTTGCTCCTGAGTGGCGCATCTGATGGACTGAGAGGTGTTTGCGTTGTTTGAAGGTCTGCCCACATTCGTCACAGATGTAATTCCGTACCTCTGCAGGGACGAGAGCGAAAGGTGCGGGGGTCATTGGCACGGGGGGCACCCTAGCGCCTCCGACCCTGATGCACGGAAGCAATGTGAGCTAATCCGTGAATTCCAGAGTCCCTGCGCTAGCACCGGAGGCGGGAAATAGCTCAAAGCCCCCCCAGCAGTGGCAGATCCTGGAGGCCTCTGGACCAAGCAATGGAAAGGAACCAGGGGGCCGTTCTACGCAAACCCTGCAGTGACTGCGCAGTTTCATACCCAGCATGAGTTCTGGGCCCTGCTCCGGCTCCCCGAGTTCTGGGCCCTGCTCCGGCTCCCCACGCTCAGGTACAGAGACGTCACCTTGTTCCTGCAGAACCCCCCTTCGGCTGTAAGCAGCCCCGGTCAGCGGGACGTACCTGTATGAATGAGTTTCACGTGGCGCTGTAGGTACCGATCGATCATGAACACCTTGTTGCAGCCAGGGTGGGGACAAGGCCTCTCCCGAACTTCTTCATGATGCTCCTTGATGTGTTTCTGCAAACGAGGATTGGAGACAGGAATGGCTCCACCACAGGCTCCTCCCCAGTCGCTTACGAGCCAGAAGAGTCAGTGCAATGGCCCGGCCCGGCTGCCCGCCCGGCCAATCTAGTTTTGCCGTGTGAAACGACGCATGCTGGGAAGCCTGTTCCTTCTGGACGTTTTCCACCTGCCTCCCACAAGGTGGCAGATCCCGGAGGCCTAGCGGTACCAAATCAACGGTGGAAAGGGGGCAGGGGCTGTTCTCAGCGAACCCCACAGGGACCAGGCAGTTTCATACCCAACGAGTTCTTGGCCCAGCTCCGGCACCAAGCAGCCCCTACCCAGTGGCCTTTCCGAAAAGGCGCCCTAGCAAGCAGGACAGCGTGAGCCAGAGACCGGTGTCTCCGTCCTAGCCCGGGTCACTGGCTGAGGGATGGGAAAGTGCATTTCATTCAGTGAACGTGTAACCGTTAAATGCCAGTGGTTCCGTGGTTACACGTGGGGCGGCCGTGGTGGGCAGCCAAGTCCCCACGCGCACCTGCTCCTGTCTGTCCCCTCCCCACTGCCGCCTCTGATACAGCAGCATGGGGGGGAGCCGGTGCACACAGGGAGCCAGCTTTTCAGCCGTCTCCCCGCAGGTACCGGGAGCCAGTGTGTAACCGGGAAGGTTAATCCATGGCCGGCTACACTTCCACATCGCTGAGCTGAACTAGTCACTGGGACCCACCCAACCCCTCCTCCCGGAGCCCTGGCAGCCGTGCCTGAATGCCATTGGACTCTGCGCAAGGAAGGGGACTTGCCCCCTTGATACCTTGCAGCACCTGCCCTGGGAAGAACTAACTTACCTTCATGCCGTCAGCCCCTCTGTACACAGCCGTGCATCCCTGGTAAGGGCACTTGTAAATGGTAGGTAGCTCCTCCCTGAAAAGAGAGAATTATCCCAGTGGCGGCGTGAATCCCGCCGCTCCCGCGCCCCTGGGCCCGCTTCGTTACCTTTCACATTTGATCTTTTTTTTCCAGCCTGGTTTGGGTCCCGGCTTCTTTCTGATTTTGGGCTCGTCGGCCTTCTTCGCTTCCTTGCTTTCCCCCTTTCTGTGGCTGGACGCCCTGCGGCCGGGAACAGCAACGCAGCCAGGAATGAGAACGCTGGGCGACTTGGTTTGGCTCCCGCGCCCCTGGGCCCGCTTCGTTACCTTTCACATTTGATCTTTTTTTTCCAGCCTGGTTTGGGTCCCGGCTTCTTTCTGATTTTGGGCTCGTCGGCCTTCTTCGCTTCCTTGCTTTCCCCCTTTCTGTGGCTGGACGCCCTGCGGCCGGGAACAGCAACGCAGCCAGGAATGAGAACGCTGGGCGACTTGGTTTGGCTTCAATCCCTCACGTCTCGTTTCCCCTGCGCGGCCGGCCCAGCGCGGCACAGTAACGCGGCAGAGGCCGGGGGCAGCCAGCCTGCTGGG